TTTAAGCAGAGCAGGGATCTTTAAATTTTTGTAAAGTCATTCAGAAATCATTTTGGAAGTTGGATAAGGAGAAGACTAGATAAGAGGTAGGCTCATAAATCAAATGTACTTAAAGTTGGGACCAGCAGGTGGTGTAATGGTTACCTCGCTGGAGTCCACGTAGTTGACCTTGGTTCAAGTCTCATACTTGGGGATCTTAAACTTCATGCCAGACATGTGCACGTGTGTGCACAAGATCCCAAAGAAGAATGAAGGAGAAGAGATTTTGGCATGGCCATGCCCCCTGGGGGGTGATTTCTTGCTTTCTGGTTCTCTCCAGTGAGCACACATGCCCTATAGCAAATATCTCTCTAAAAGAGAATAAAATAAAGGGCCAGTGACATTTAGGCTCTGGATTTCCATATTGCCAGCGACTGCCATATTGAATCCTGGACCTGAAAGTTTGCTTTCTCACTTTCTGTCTCTCTCTCTCTCTTTATAGTCAAGTTAAAAAAAATAAAAATTAAACAAATAATTCTTAAAAAATTGATTAAATACTTAAAACTTGTACAGGTGAAAAACTAATGAGCTACTGAGAAAGATATTGGCATTTGAAGTGGAGGGAAAAAATCTCATCTGACAGGTTTTATGAAAACCAACAGAAAATACTGATCAAAAATTAAGAAAAGATAATTTCTTGTAGCCAATTTAGCTGTCCTAATATGTAAATATAATGGGCAAGATTATTCACAGATTTTAAAACAGTATTTGTTCAATCACACTCAATAAGTGTTCTCACTTTATTAAATTATTCCACATAAAAGAAGCATAAGTCTGCTAAAATGTATCCTAACTTCACAAAAACTCAACCACCTCATAATATCCACAATAATACAGTTAGGAGAACAAGGCTGTGGTAGTTATTCTTCTCATCAGTCACTGCTGTCATGAATTAATTTAGTGGGTCTTGTTTTCTGCACTGAGAACCTACATAATTTGTGGTAAAAAGGCAATAGTCATGCCTCAATAGAACAGAATGCTGGACATATACAAGACACCCTTGTACTCTCACAGAATATAGTCTAAGCACCAAAGTACAATTAGTCAGAATATAAGCAGGACACCTTCAACACAGGGACAATTTCCTGAGTGCAATTTTTACCACATGGATTCCAATGCACATATTTTTTTTTTTGTCCTGTTCAGAAACAAAGTTATTTTTACAAATTTATGATGATACCATCTTCAGAAACTACTTTAACAAAGACATAATTCACTTCCCAAAAGTATTGAACTATCTCCCTGTATTTTACAATCCCATTAAATTTGCAAGTGAAGAACATGGTGACAGAGAGCAAAACAGAGATGGTACTTACGAACTGGTAAAGTCTGGAAGATTTCTGTTTTACTATAGTCTCCTTGCCCTTTTCCATTTACAGCTGCAACCCTGATTTCATATGTTGTATTTGGTTCCAGGTTGCTCAAAACAACCAGCGCTGGAAGAAGAAAAAAAATATGGGTATTATATATATCACATCTATGCTTAATATATTTTAATAAGAAAATTAGTTTCTTACAAGTGAATAATTTAATTGTAAAGTTTTCTGTGTAATGTAAAAAACAGGAAAGTCATATGAAAAGAGAATAATTTCTAAACAGTCCACTTCTTTACCATTTTAGATTTGAAACCCCATACTGATTTTTACTGATTGTTAGAGAATCAGCAGATTTGTTTATATTTGTATTCACAAATTAAACAGGTAAAATTGTTTCTTTCATCTTTATTATTATCCAAGAACTAAGAATGAAACAAATAAAACATAAATATTCCAAATATTTTATCTACTCTAAATGGATTAGTCCTATAAAATTTAGTGCAAAGATTTAATATATAGACCACTGGACTCCATATTAAGATGTTTCAGCCATGTTAGAGAAGAGTCGCAAAGCTGAATCTATGACAAAAATGAATAATTCATTCTTTAAGATCAAATTAAGTCATATTATTTTTTAATTCTAGTTTGATGCATTCTCATCACATCTTTTCTCTCTGACTTCCTTCTCAGTCATGTACTGAGCCAACATGGATTCAACATGACACAAAGAAGAAGAAAATACCTGAAAATATTCAGAAATGTTGAGGTTATTAGAAATATCTCCTGGGTCACCTCAGCCATTGCAATTGGACAGATAATTTTTGATGCATTTGCAAATTTCAAAATATCACGTCGTCACTGATTTTTCTAATAGAGCTAACAAAATTCTATAGTTACTCTTATTACCCTTCACTCTTTTGCTAAACAAAGAAAAAATTAATGTATAGAAATGTCTTGATGAAAATCAAATGGAAGTTATTGGAGTGGCTCTATTTTGTGAAGTGGTTAGTGCTGCATATAGGGAGCTGAATCCCATGTGATTCACTACGATTCAAATCCTGGCCCTGGCAGCTCGAAAAGATGCTGGGTATGGTGTTTTCATACACCAAATCGGGATAAGACGGAGACATGGACGAAAGAGGATTGTGTTGTGGCCATACTCCTCTGGGGCTGCTTTCTCTCTGTTTTTCTGGTCAGTGCATGCCCTTCTTACTATAAAGAGAATTATGTCTTATGTACACAACAAACTCCAATTCACAAGAGCAATTCATAATGGAAGATATATTTAATCATAAAATAAAAGATTAAATCATAGGTAATCAGGATCCTATTTGTAACACTATTGTTTTACAGGAACCTTGACTGAAAGGATATAGAGTCAATAAAATTCTGATATATTGTATTAATATGCTAATTCTAATATTTATTTTAATTATAATAGAAATTCACTAGATGCAATGTTTCATTCTACATGATGTAAAGGTAATTAATGAATCTGTTTTGATACACCCTTTTGTTCCATTCTTTTCCCAATATTCATTATCACGACATCTTTCCCTTTTGGAATTATAATTACTTTATCTTCATTGAATTATTTATCGAATTTTAGAGAAGAAAATATAAGTTGCTGAATGCACAGTAGAATTGTTTTCTTTGTATAAAAGAATGCACTATTGGAAATATTTAATAAATTATTTATTACTAGATAAATGTTAACAGCAAATATAGTCCAGATATCAACGAGACTTTGTTTTCTCCTATAGAGATGTTCTAAAATCAGCCATAAATAATACATTTCCAATGGGAAAGTTTTATATTCATATTTCCTAATTTCTTTTATACAAAAATTGAACTCGCTTCAAGGATAAATGGGAAAACCTAACTTGAAAACAATAATGACAGCCTAACAACCTGCAAGCATTTTCAGGAATCCCAGTCAGTTGATGACCTGGAGTCAATGAATATATAATGTCATTTCCAGAAAAAGAATGTAGTTACAATGCCAAGAAGGTGGGCACACAGACAAAGCAGGTTATAGATACTATGGAAGGGAAGGAGGAAATTTAACAGAGGTAAAAGGCTAAACAAGGTGGAATTCTCAGGGTGGCAGGTGGTATGGTGGATAAAGATGCTGGACTCCCACATGGCTGACAGCAGTTTGAGTTTTGGACCTGGCCGCTTTCTTTCTCTCTTTCTGTCTCTCCTCATGTCTTTCTCTGGTCAAATTAAAATAATAATAATAATAATAATGTTAAGTAAAATGATTCTTAAAAAAATATAGTTGGAGTTCTCCTATCCTTAGAAAACTATTAACTAAAGTTAACATAACAAGAAAGTCAAAAATTAAAGATTCATCATATTTTATCAATTTAAACAATTAATAATTATTATAAAAAGTCAAACCAAGTGAAGTAGGTATACTGTTCTGCACAGATTAAAGCTTCATAAAGGTGTATTTATCCTTTGAGGTTTGTAACAACAAAAGTGGTTAGGCTTTTAGAAAATCCATTGGAATTAATCAGTATTTGATTCTACTTTTTCGCTTTTATTTTGAAAATTTTAATTGACATATAATAGTCATGTATATGCATGGCATACAATGTAGTTTTTCAATTCATGTATAGAACATGAAATGATCTACTCAGGGAAATAAACATTTCTATTACCTCAAACTTTTTAAAAAATCTGCACTGTGAATATTCCAAACCCTTTCAAGCTATTTTGAAATATACATTAAATTCTTATTAACAGTGCATACCCTGCTGTGCTTTAGCACTCTAGAACACATTCCTCTTATTCGATTTTCTATTTCAATTTCAATTTCTTATTTTCTATCTGTTAATGAAATTTTTTTTATCATTCCTTCCCTACTCCTTACCAGATTCTGGTATTCCTCATTCCATTCTATGTCATAAAAAATTTCAGTTTCCACAAAAGAGTAAGAACATGTAGTATTTCTCTTTCTATGCCTGGTTTATTTAACTTAAAGACATGTGCACCCCAAAGATGCTAGCAAAATTAGTAACAATAGTCAAGATGTAATCAATCTAAGAGTACAGCAACAAATGGATGGATAAAATTTAATATATATCTATACATAACACAATTTCTACTGTTACTAAATAAAGCAGGGTAAATATAGTTAAGAACAATTTTCTGTATATCTCAAAGTAATATTAAAAAGATAATTTTGAATGTTGCCAACAGAAATGACTGTTGAGTTTTGTATATTTAACTTGAAAATATGAATTTTTATAACTTAATCAATACATTGTATTATTATGCTTAAATATCACAATGTACCCTATAAATATGTACAATAATTGTATGTCAACTAAAAAAAGATATATTTAAATAAAAGGTTTTGTGATCTGTGAAATAGCCACCATCATTCACAAGTTATCTATTAAATGGGGATAGTATGTGAAGACTGAGATAATGCAAAATAACAGATATCTCAAAAATTATTCATCTCTGACTATATGTTTAGTGGCTAAATATTTTATGTTACTGGAAAAAATAATCCTACTCACATTTTCTATAAACATTAATCAACACTTACCCAAATTTCCTACAAAGCAATCATATTACCCAAGAATATATGGGAGATTCAAGACCACCTAATGGTGTAAAGTTTATGTTGCTGGACTCCCACATAGTTAACCATGGTTGGAGTTCTGGACCTGATGGCTTAAAACTCACACAGAGTACATGTGCATGCATGCCCCAAATCCCGAGACAATGGAGGAGAAGGGACTGTAGGGTGGCCTTCCTGCCTGGGAGTGATTTCTCACTTTCTGTCTCTCTGGTGAGCACATGTACCCTATAGCAGAAATCTAAAAACAAACAAACAAACAACCCAAGAGATTGCAGTATAGATATTTACACTGCTACAGACAATTTTAGAAATGTGATAAGCCTTTCCATATTTCTGTGATATGAAAATACAGCTACAAACATCATTATAAGAGTGTGTAATATATTATAACCTGACTCTGTTGTTAAGGGAAAATTACAATGCTTGTATTAATTGTTTTGATCAATTCAATAGAAAAACAGAATTTCAAGCATGAAATTGTAGTTATAAATAACATTCTTCACAAATCATAAGCTCGGAGATCAAGGTTGTCTTGATACGGCACTAACATACTGCTCAAGCAATGCTGGATCCATATGAAAGATCCTGGGTTCTACCTGCTGGCCTGCACATGCCATAGATGCATGCCCCTGAGCTTCGCTAGCTGGGAGGATGGGAAGGGATTGTAGCATCAGAGTCAGTTGAGGGTGAGTCTCTCTCTCTTTCTCTCTCCTTCTCTCAGTCTCTCATCCTCATTAAAGAAAGAAATTTAAAATTAATAAAAAAAATTCTCATAGTATAAAGGCTGTGGATTTTTAATTTATTTTACTTTTTTTTAACAGTTATATACATCAAGTTTAATTTAAACTACACAAATGCAGTATCTATTCAAGATCTAGGACAGAACTCCTACTTAAAGTCGCAAATATCCAGCTGTGGTTTTTGGAACAGTATGAAATTTTGGTGTACAAATCCACTCTCTCCCTGGGAAGACTCTTTCTCTACATACTTTCTGTAGGGTCTTGGGGTTGGAGCACTCAGGTGCACTAAAAAGAAGTGTAGAGATCATGTTTTAGATATGGTCTCTGCATCTTTTTAGGTTAAAAATGGATAACAACAGGGAACCAGCAGTTAGCGTAATGGCTATGTCGCTGGACTCCCATGTAGTCGACTGCGGTTCACGTCCCGGACCCGGTGGCTTAAAACTCATGCCGGGCGTGTGTGCGTGCATGCCCAAGATCCCGAGAGGAGAATGGAGGAGAAGGGATTGTGGCGTGACCATCACCCCTGGGGGGTGATTTCTTGCTTTCTGTCTCTATGTCTCTCTCTGTCTGTCTGGCAAGCACACGCACCCTATAGTGAAAACCTCTCCAAAAAGAAAAAAAAAAAATGGATAACAACAGAGTTACCAAAGTACCAGAGCAGGCCTAGCCATGGGGGCATACACAGCTATGGCACAAGCTTTTAAGAAGCTATGCCTAGTTGGCTAGGACTATACAGGAGGCCTGGATTACATTATTGGCCCAACCAAAAGTTTGGTCAT